TCTATTTTTACTTTTTTGAGGAACCTCCACACTGTTTTCCAAAGTGGCTGTACTTTTCCAAAGTGGCTACACCAACTTCCGTTCCCACCAACAGTGTAAGAGGGTTCCCCTTTCTCCACAGCCTCTCCAACATTCGTTGTTTCTTGCCTTTTCAATGTTTGCCATTCCAACTGGTGTAAGGTGGTATCTCAGTGGGGTTTTGATTTGAATTTCCCTGATGGCTAGTGATTATGAACATTTCTTCATGTGTCTGTTAGCCATTTGTATGTCTTCTTTTGGGAAGTGTCTGTTCATGTCTTCTGCCCATTTTTTGACTTGATTATTTGTTTTTGGGTGTTGAGTTTGAGAAGTTCTCTATAGATCTTGGATATCAGCCCTCTTACTGACATTTTCGTTTATTTATTTTTAGTGATCTCTATACCCAGTGTGGGGCTCAAACTCATGACCCCAAGATCAAAAGTCACATGCTGTTCCAACTAAGCCAGCCAGGTGGCCCTAAATTTTGTTTAAGTAGTCTCTACGCCCAATGTGGGGCTTGAACTCATGACCCTGAGATTACAAATCACACGCTCTACTGACTGAGCCAGTTGGGCGCCCCCTCTTACCGATGTTTTAAAAGGGTAAGTCTGGCTGCTGTCGGGAGAGTGGCTTGTGGTACATGGCGGGGGGACAGGGAAAGGAGAGTGAAGCTCCTGCTGTAGGTCAGGGGCACAGTGTTGCTAGCTAGGAGTTTGGTGGTGCCGGGGAGATGGGGAGAAGTTGTAGCTTTGAGGTGTGTTGGAGAGATGGAGCTTGCGGAGAGATTGGACCTTGAGCGCGATGAGGTGGAAAAGAGGACTCGGGGATGAGGTCTTGGTTTTAGTGATGAATATGTGGCTGGCTGGCAGTGTGTCGTTTGCTGAAGCAGGAACATTGAAAGAAAAGCAAGAGTTTTCTTTGGTAGCAGAGCAGGAAATCAGAAGTTCCATTTTGGACACAATAACTCTGAGATGCCCAGTAGACATCCCTGTGAAGATGTAAATAGGCAGGTAGAGAAGGGTTTCTGGAGCTCTAGAAACAAAAGAGGCCATGTTTCAGAGACAGTGGCCTACAGATGGTGCTTAAAGTCATGGAAATACACGAGTCGGCCTAGAAAGAACCTGTATCCAGAGAACAGGACTGACAACCAATATTTAGGATATACCGACCTGGAGAGCTAGTCAGAGAAAGAGTCAACTAAGGAAACTGAAAGAAAGCCAGTGAGGCAGCAAAGAGACTAGCACATGTCATGATGAGGAAGACAAGGGAAAAAGTTCTTCAAGGAAGAGAATGATCAGCCATATGGAATAATTTAGACAGTTGGAGTACGAAGAGGACAGAAAAGTGCCTATTAGATTTGGCAGGACAGATGACCTTCTCTGGCACAGCTTCTGTGGACTTGGGGGCAGAAGCAGGAGACCGTTGCTCTAGACCATTCTTTTGAGAATGGGGACAGAGGAGTAGCAGTGCAACTGGAGAGGCCTGTGGGGGTCAAGGTAGGGTTTTTTCGTAGATGGTGGAGATGGGTGTGCTGATGGAATGACCCATCAAGTAAGGTGAGAGAGCACCATGAGGAGGCCCAGAGAGGAGGGGTAGGTAATTACAGGAGTTCTGTCCTTGAGAGAGAGAGAAGGAGGAGAGAGTGGCGAGGACAGATTGACCTTGGATTGGTTACAACAGACCAACTGCCAATGCTCCTGAGGGAAGGCGGAGGGTACAGACAGGTACAGGTGGGTGAGAAGATTCAGGAGTGAGAAGATGAGATGTATGTAGTTCTCCCTGTGTTTGTGTTCTCAAAGAAAACAGGAGGTGGGGGTCAAGTGCATGGAGTAGAGTAGATGGCTAGAGATTTGAAGAGAGACAGAAGAAGGGTACAACTGAGTTTTGGAGGCTGGGGAAATGCTTATTGCAAAAAACGGTGAGGGAAAGGAGTGGACCCCACCCCTTTATATAAAGCAAGAGCACAGTGTGTGTGCGCGCGCATGCGCATGCGCACGCACACACACACACACACACACACACACACACACACACACACACTAACCAGGGGGTCAGAGACCTACTTCACGGCTAACGAAGTACAGAAGGATGTGAACCGCAATGATCAGGCTAAACGTAGGCTGCTGGACAGAAGAATCTACACCGGAAAAAACTGCATTTTAAGCTGAGGAGAGGGGTCTCTGGACCAGCTAGCTCTCCTCCAGGATTAGGTTCTATTTGTTGTCCAATTTCCTCCATAGGCTGAAAACTGCTCGAATGGAATCACATTGCACTCAGTCTCTTCCCTCATCAATGTGATGTTTGGGAGCCGTGAGAGTGAAGGGCAGTATTTCTAAGACCAGCTGTCAAAAGAGACTGAAGTCATAGGAGAGGCCATTGGAGAAGTCCAAGCAAAAGCCAGGAGCCTGAAGTTTCATAGAGAAGAGCTAAAGTTCTTCAGTTTAATTGCTGTCAATCATATAAGCAACAGAGCTGTAACTACAGAGAGCTATGTGGCTTTCTTTTTATTTTGTTCTGTGTTATTTTATTTTATTTTATTTTATTTTATTATGTTATGTTAGTCACCATACAATACATCATTTGTTTTTGATGTAGTGATCCATGATTCGTTGGCTTTCTTAATGCTGATGTAAGAAATCACCACAGACTGACTGGTTTTAAAGCACATAAGTTTATTATCCTAAAATGCTGGAGGTCGGAAGTCTAAATGGGTTGGCAGGGCTTCTGGGGGCGGGAGGGGAGAAGACAGCCCTCGCCTTTTCCGGCTTCTGCAAGCCGCCTACATTGCTTGGCTTGTGGCCCCGGCTACATCTTCAGAGTCAGCACTGTAGCACCTCCAGATCTCTCTCTGAGCAGACCTCCGACTTCCCTCATCACATCTCCTTCCCTCTCTTTCTCTTATGAAAAGGCTCTTCTGCTCATGTAGGTCAGGCCCCACTCTGTGACGTAATCAATCTACCTCAAGATCCTTAACTGAATCCCCCCTGCAAGGTACCTTTGCCATATATGGTAATGTAGTCACAGGTCTGGGCATGGGGACGAGGACATCTTTGGGCAGGGAGGGAGCCCTGTCCTAGCGCCAGAAGCTTCCAGCTTTATCCACTAGTGTGATGTAGTCCTGTGCTGTAGCTTTGCATTTGCTTCACTCAGCCATCTAAAGCTTTTCTTTTTGATCCAGTGTGTAAAATAATAGGATCTAGAGCTTTTAAAAAAGTTACTCGTTATAAGAAACTTTCAGATCAAATGTGAAGTGAACAAGGTATGTTTTCTCTATTCCATCAGTTTTTTTCTGTGTTTTGGATATTTGGGACTTCAGAACTTCTGCTACATAAAACGCTGAGAGTAGACATCCCCTCCTAAAGTTCATGATGTGGTTAATTTACCAATTCGCATAACCCTCAAGTATTAAATTCCCAGAAAATGTTTATTAATCTAAGATTAATGTACCATGTCATTGATGTTTACATCATTTGTCAACAAATTCTGTGTTTATGGGCAAGTGTGCATGCACATGAGGCTGGGTGTGGTATATGACTCTGCCTCAAATCCTGGTGGAGAAGATGCTGATGTGTAACTTCAGCTTTGTGACCCTGAGGAAGTTGTATCACCCTCAGAATCTCACTTGGCTTCTGTGTAATTAATGAATAAGTACACTGCTCTCCTGGGGATGGGGTATAAATAATACTTGACTTTTATTCACAAAAGCCCTTATAAGTGCCAAGTATTGCCAAAAACTAAAATTTTGCCATATGTAATAGCCATGGTGACCATATAAATCTATAAATTTCCACTCTGTTTTCCAATTAGATTTGATATCCCTCATGATTTCTCATTTAGAATCATGTTTGAATTTAGCTTTCAACCATTTTATATTCATTCAAATATCGGCTTCCCTTAGTTCTTTTTTTTCCACTGTTATTTAAATTATATTTTATTATTTTATTATATTATTTATAAATATATAAATATATAATTATTATTACACTTATTTTTTACTTATTATTTCATTTCAGCTTTTGTTTAGTTCTTACACTTAGCTGTATAACTAGGGGACCCTGGCAGTGGGATTCTAATTATTCTCAGCAGTTTTCCTTTTAGTTTTTAAAGAGATTTCTGTTTGTATCCCATTATGCTTGTTTTTATTAGAGTAAAAATACTATTTAGAAATTTTAGATTGTCTTGATCTATTTTATGATATGTGCATATGGAGAGATACCGCACCTGCCATTTCTTCACAATTGTACTGGTCAGGGTGCTGGCAGGAAACCAAGAACATCCTCACAGGGGATCGCTAAAGAGTCACGTGGAAACAGTGAAAAGAAACCAAGAGGGAATAATAAAGCACCTAGGAGCTAGCAGCCGGAGGGCATCTTGTACCTACCTGTGCCTCAAAGAACACCAGGGTGGAGGGATTGCCAAAAGCTGACAAGAGCCGTGGCTGTAGGAGAAGGTCCCAGGGGATGAGCATACCAACTGCCAAATCTCCCCCCAGCCAGGGGAAGGGAGAAGGAAAGCAAGGGAAATAAATATCCTGAATGCTGCTCCCACCGTGCCAGACCCAGTGGAAGCCAATGGTCAAGGGAGCCAGTTGATGCCTCCATAGCAGTCCATTTCCCGGCACACAGCGGGGGCGGGGAGGAGGCAGTGACCCGGAGGAGCAAACAGAACATGCCCCAGCACAGAGGTCTATTGGAAAAATATTCCAAATTACTTTATCATGGGATAGTACAGAAACACACATGTACCCCCATACTTAAGGCTTGACCCTTTGGTTTCTTTCTCTCACCACTGCTATTGGCGGTTGTAAAGTTGAGCTGGTCACCATGGCTAATGCCCAGATCGGCTCGTTTTTCTGTGAGTGTTAAGACTTAACAATACATTCACAGGGCAGATACCCACAGTGATTGGGGGGAGGGTCCTCGCTTTCCCAGCAGGCCATCTGAGAGGCGCTGTCCTTCACTCTTCCATTCTTTCCTTTCTAGGATGGAGCTTCAGCATGGGGTCAGCTTACCAGTTTCACAGTTGGCGTGTGTTCGTGATAGTCTGCGCGCTCCCCTGTGTCTCCTCGGTGGTGGCCCTCACATTCATGCCTGAAAGCCCACGGTTCTTGCTGGAGGTAACATGCATTACTGTGAATGTCTAAGGGAGCCACACACATTGGAAAAAGTTCCTTGTTTGCCTCTCTAGGAGGTACGTTTTCCCTTGCTACCATGGAACCATGGAGGGGTTGGTTTCGTGGAGATGTGCTTTAAAAGACCCGTGTGTGAAAAAGCTGCCTCGTGGCCTGAAAGCACTAATGTTCCTCCTCAAGCAAGTAACTTTTCAGTCAGTGAAGAGACTTTGTCTTTTTTATACATGAGCTTTTAGCAGCTAAAGATGCTATTTCTAGTTCTAGGCACATCCATTGAACTGCTCTTGTACTTGAGGATATCCAGTGGGATATCCCATTTGTGCAATTACACCCAATTTGCTCTGACAACACAAGATGGTTATTGGAAAATCAGGGAGTATAAGGGTTTTACCTTTTAGCCCTTCAGTGTCTGTTCGCGTTTCTTAGGTTGGAAAACATGATGAAGCGTGGATGATCCTGAAGTTAATTCATGACACAAACATGAGAGCACGGGGTCAGCCTGAGAAAGTCTTCTCGGTGAGTACCTGCTTCTCAGCAAATCTTCTATGCCGGGAGCCAGGAAACCTTTTCTGAAAAGGCCAGATTGTAAATTTTTCTCTCTACACCAGTTACACTCATCTTTTGGTTCCTCATATTTCCACTTCACTTAGACATGTTTGCGCTCACTGGCTCTGTGTGTACCGTTCAGTCTGCATGGAATGTTCTTACATCTTCTGGTTACCAAGTCTATTCTCAATGGGGAAAGCCAGTCTAAATTAATGAAAATTGGATGGATGGAATTTTTTGGAAGGAACAATGGTTTAAATATTTTTACATAGGCAGTCATACATTTAGACTAATAATGTTTTGTCTGAAATAGGTTTAGGCAGATACACAGTAAGACATAGGGAGACATAAATAAGATCTTCAGTATCTTATAAATAACACACAACTACAGGTGTTAAAACATATGAAATAGTTCCTCATTAAACAGTCTGTTGACATCTTATTTATTTCATTTTTACCTAGGAAACAAATTTTTCAAATTGTAAATATAGACTTAAGTTTGGCCTTCATCTAAATTACCACACATTCTTCCTTAGCACAATTTTTTATGCAATGTAATGGAGAAATGAAAGTCAGTAATGGATGTTCTCCATTGAGGACCTGAAAGTCTTTGAATAGGCCCTTCTTTTAAGCAGATGCACAACAGAGGAAGGATTTTTTTTAAATGAAAGGATCAGAAGGTTAGAGGAATCTTGAGGCATCATCTAGATACTCAGTGTCACTTAACCCTTCTTAGCCACATGAGGGAAAAACCCTTTACCAGGGGGATCTTCTGTGAAGGAGAGTCTCTCCAGGGCCTCACTGTGCTACTTACCTGCTTTTTCCTCCAGAAGGTTTGAGGTACCAAATTCACACATGGTCATCCATGTTGTTACTAGATTAGGTGAGAACTGGGGGGAAGACTCCAAAAGAATGGATAAAACTCAGAGTCATTTATTATGTGACTTTCAAAGTCATTACATGAGTCCACCATGACAAATTTGTCTTTTTTCCTTATTATGCCTACAATATAGTGAATCTGCATGCATTCCTCCAAAGGCTTCTTTTAAAGCTCTTCTTCTTATGCCCCTACCTTAAATAATTGTTTTCCAGGACTGTATTTTTAGCTAATTTCTCTTTTAATCCTATATGCTTTCCTTAGCTGATTCTAGCTCTCTATCTCCTAATGGACAGCTCTCCTGAGCTCCAGACATACATGTTGAAGGCCTTTATGGACGTCCTTTTATGTCCTTTCAAATCTGAATTTCTGAGTCTGAACTTAGCACCTTAAGAGTCTTCAAGCTTCTTCTTTTTACTAAATTCTACCAGAAGATACCACCAGTACCACAAACCGGAAAACCTTGGAACTACCCTATTTCTTTCTTCCCCTTTATCCCCACAATATTCGAGGAATCACTGTGTCCTATTATTTCCCATCCTAAATATCACTCCTCATTGTTCCGTACTTTTGACCCTCCTGCCAACTGATTTCTTTCAGCCCTCTTTACTATTCTTTAGGAATCTAAAACTCTTTGTAGTTGGCTAATACCTTGTTTTCTCTCACAACTCAGGATGTTTGCACATGGTATCTCACGCTTGGAATGGCCTCCAAGTGGTTTACATACATGGCAAATGACATACTTCTCCATAAGTCCCAGCTTAGGTTCAGTCCATGAAGGCTTCTCTCATTCCCGAGTCAACTTGGGTGTTCTATAAAATACATCTCTCCCATCCAATATAGATCTACATTACAGGTTTTTTTCTTTGTATGGTAATTGCTGGGAGGATGTCAGTAATGGGTATTTTATGTTTGCATCTCTGTAGTCTTAGTGCTGGACCTGGTTGGTACCCAGTGGGTGCCCGTGAGTGAATGAACAAACAAACACTGATGAGTAGAGAAGAAGCAGCCTCCCAAAAATAATATGTTGCGTGATAAGAACACCTCTGTGATTTAAAAAAAAAAAATCTATAGAGTATCACAGAATAATGCCTCCATGGATCATTTTGAGCTGACTCTATTTGGAATCCCACATTTAACTCAGACATTATTTTCATTAAATACAGACCTCTTTGTTGACAGAGCCAGGAAGAGTCTACTGCTTACCTTGTATAATTTGGAAGATGCTGAGGGTCCCCAAATGACCACTGTCAAAAGATAGCCTGGGTACCTGGATTCTCACAAAAGAAGTGCTGCTTTGGATGTGGGCGGAATCTCCAGAAAAAAAGTGTTCAAAAGTGATCCCTGGCAGGGGTCACATTTGTGCAATTGCTGTGTTCTCTCTCGAAAGTTACATAAATATTGACTAACAGTGTAAGATGGGACAGGTCCACAAAAGGAACCATTCTTTTTTTTTATTTTTGTTTTTTCTGTTTTCAGGCTTCGTTCTCTGTGTTGAAAGCATTGCCTCTCCCGTGTCTAGGTTCTTTTCCTGAGCAGAAGAGGCTAACTTCAGTCCTAGATGCAGCTTTTCACAGTGGTCTCCCATCATTTATCCCCTCTGTCACAGAAGAAACTGTTAGAACTCATTCTCTCGACTCTGCACCAGGCTCGCCTGTGGCTATTTGCTGACCAGCCGCTGTGGTGTTAGGCTACAGGAAAGGGAAAGACGGGGCATAAAATATAAAGATAACTTTTAAGAATACAAGTTGGATGGGGAAGCTTTAAGAACTGTGTTGAGGGGCCAAATGTATCAAATCAGTAGGCTCCAATGTAAAGTATGTACAATCGCTTCAGTCCAAGCAAAATAATTCTTATTCTAGAAGCTAATCTCTCTGAATGTTTTATCTGCGAAATGTGTGCCTTTATGGTTTCCAAAGAAGGACATTTGGGGCTCATATTACTCCATCCTTCCCTGTTCTTCTGCCTTGTTCCGTGGTATTCCCTCCTATTCATTCTTTATGCAGTTCTTTTAGGTGGTGTTGGGATGTGTATACCTTACGCCCATGGTCTCATGTAGGAATGGAATGATTATCAGATACCTGCTTACTTTTGTGGGAGTCGGGATTTGCTCCTCTCAAAACAAAAAACTCAGCCCTTGGCACTGTGTTGTTCTCTACAGGTCCACAGAATCAAAACCCCCAAACAAATAGATGAGCTGATTGAAATTGAGAGTGACACAGGCACGTGGTACAGAAGGTGTTTTGTCCGGATCCGCACGGAACTCTATGGAGTAAGTAACAGACCCGCCCCGAGTGCCGGCCAACATGTCACCTTTGAAGCTGGTCAGAAGCAGGGTTGATCGTGGCCGCCCTGCGTGGGACTGTGCCCCCTGCTGTCCAGGACACCTCATTTGCCTGCACGGGGACCAGGTGAAAGGACCCCCCCTTGGATCAGTGGGCTAGCCAAGTCCATCTTTGGGAAGGGAAGGTGCTAGGCAAGGAGTCTTGGCAGGGCTGGGACACTCTGAAGTTTTAAGTTACTTTGTCCCTTGGCTTCCAGGCAGCTAAAAAAGGGAAGCTTGCAAGATTTGGTTTCCTAGAGCCTTCAGCCTTGACATTTGAAGTTCCAATGAGTCTGGCTAAAAGAAAAGTCAGTGTTTTTATAACTGGTGAAGGGGATTGGGGAGTGGGTTCACTGCATAACCGCACAAGAAAACTAACTCTTGAACATTTCACAGATTTGGTTGACTTTCATGAGATGTTTCAACTACCCCGTCAGGGAAAATACAATAAAGCTTACAATTGTTTGGTTCACCCTGTCCTTTGGGTAAGTAATATTTCAGTTCTTGGTGAATGAAATCTTTACATTTCCACACAGTAACTCTCAGTCACGCGGCTCTCCTTTCTTACACTGTTTAATGCTGTTAATATATTAGGAAAGATTTTTTTTTTTCAGTTTAGATTTGCTGACCATGACAGTTTTTATAAATGACTTACCTTGGGGCGCCTGGGTGGCTCAGTCTTTAAGCGTCTGCCTTGGGCTCAGGTCATGGTCCCGGGGCCCTGGGATCGAGCCCCGCGTCGGGCTCCTTGCTTAGCAGGGAGCCTGCTTCTCCCTCTCCCACTCCCCCTGCTTGTGTTCCCTCTCTCGCTGTGTCTCTGTCAAATAAATAAATAAAAATCTTGAAAATAAATAAATAAATAAATGACTTACCTCATCTTATCACAAGGCTGGGTGACAAAACCAATAGTCCTTGGAAAGTCTGATGAGACTGTGGGTGATGTGCTCCCCATAGCTTCTCCACCCTCTTCTCCTTGTTTGCTTGGCACCAGCCACACTGGCCTCCTTGCTTTTCCTTGAACAGGCCAGAACGTTCCAATCTCAGGGAACTGCCTTGGCACTGCTCCCTGGACATTGCCCAGCTCATTTCCTCACCTCTTTTGAGACTTGGCTCAGATGTCACCTTCTCAGGGTCACCTTCCTTAAGCACTTACTTCATTGCAGCCCCTCAGCACTCCCTACCCCCTTCTCAGCCTTATTATTCCCCCAAAGCACCTTCCATCTTCTAATATACAAAAAATTTCTTTATTCTCTAGAGAATAAAGCTCTGTCTCCCCCTCTGTGGAAGCTCTGTGAGAACGGGGATTTTAAACTGTCTTGTTCACTCCTCTATGCCCCTGGCACATAGTAAGTGCTCAATAAGTAGTTACTGAACGACTAGAACCACCATATGTGGGTTCTAAGAAAAGAGGAGATAGGAAGAAAATATCAGAATTTTATTTGCTAATGGCTTTAGAATATTTGTGTCCAACTCTTATTTTGTGTAATTTACTGTTTAAAAGAGGCAGTTAGATAATACCCTATACTTACAGGTCAGTTGGCTCTTAATGCCCTAGGAGAGCCCAACATCTGTGCTGCAGGTTCTATCTGTAAACATCCCTAAGTTAAAACAGGTGAGTGATCAAAGATGGTTGGTCTTTCATAGTGCCGTGAGGGGTGGTAAATGGAGAGACAAGGAAAGTGTGGATCAGAAGACCTAATACCTCGGGGCGCCTGGGTGGCTCAGTCGTTAAGGGTCTGCCTTCGTCTCAGGTCATGATCCCAGGGTCCTGGGATCGAGTGCCACATCGGGCTCCCTGCTCAGCGGCAAGCCTGCTTCTCCCTCTTCCACTCCCCCTGCTTGTGTTCCTGCTCTCGCTGTCTCTCTCTGTCAAATAAATAAAATCTTTAAAAAAAAAAAAAAAAGACCTAATACCTCATTCTGCTCTGTGACTTGGAGACACTACCAAGTTTTATGTCCTTATTTCCAAGTTAAGAGGGTAGATTCAGAATATGTAAAGTAACTCCCACTCAAGTTCTAGAAGACACATTAATCAATGAAGGCAGAGAAGGCTAAAAAGTGCCTACTATGTTCTAAACACTCAACTAGGTACAAAGATAAGTAGTCAAAAGTTCTATTCTTGATGTGGAGATTTACATGGTTTGCTAATATTTTGTTATTTATTGCTGACCACATTTTAAGCTTGATGGTTTCCTGGTAATATCCCTGAAATGTTAAAGAGTGGCTAGCATTTGGTAGATTTTCAGTACATGTTCGCTGAATAAATGAAAAATTAGCTGAAACTCCTCCACATCATTGATGATATACATTCCAGGCTAGTGTGCTGCCCTCATTGTTGCCACTTTCAAAGATTTTTGTCCTCAGTATATGAGTAGAGAGCAGTGTGATCGATGTTCCGTCCCTGAGTCATTTCTGCTTTAGTGGCCACCACTCACACCGCCACAGTGATTTGGTCATGGTCTATGAAAAGAAGGGGTTGGAGATCTATGGAATCCTAAGGCAGAGATGTTTCAGAAATCTTGATGACAGTGATGAGGATAAACACTGACGTCTTTTGAACACTCACTATGTGCTAGGCACTTTGCATCCCATTTAACCAGAGTAAGGAAGGTGGGTACTGTCATTGCGCTGATATTAGACATGGGGCACCTCAGGCTGAGAGGAGTGTGCATCCAAAGAATCACCTGGAGGACTCCATCTCCAGAGTTTCTGATGCAGCCGTTCCGGATAGCACCCGAGAGTTTGCATTTGTAACGAGTTTTCAGGCGATGCTAATGCCACTCATCCAGAGATCCTACTTCGGGAACCACCAACTTAGAGCAGCGCTCTCTAATAGAAATAAAATGCAAGCCACATATGTCATTTTAAATCTCCAAGCAGCCCCATGAAAGAAAATAAAAAGAAACAGATGAAATTAATTTTAATAATGTACCTTATTTATTAGCTCATTATGTCCAAAGTAGTGTAATTTCAACATATAATCAATATAAAAATGATTAATGACTTAATTTTACATTCTTTTTTTCATTAAGTCTCCAAATTTGATATTTTACACTTACAGCAGATCTCATTTGGATTAGCCACATTTCTTGTATTTTTTTAGTTTTTATTCAAATTCCATTTAGTGAACACACAGTATAATATTAGTTTTAGTTGTACAACATAGTGATTCAGCTCTTCCATACAATACCTGGTGCTCATCACAGCAAACACACTCCTTAATCCCCATCACCTGTTTCATCCATTCTCCCGCCCCGCCCCCCCACCTCCCATCTGGTAACCATCAGTTCTCAATAATTAAGAGTCTCTTTCTTGGTTTTCCTCTTTTTTTTTTTCCCTTTGCTCATTTATTTTGTTTCTTAAATTCCACATATAAGTGAACTTATATGGTATTTCTCTTATTTCACTTAGGATAATACTCTCTAGTTCTGTCCACATTGTTGCAAATGACAAGATGTGATTCATTTTTACAGCCAAGTAATATTCCATTTATATGTACATATATGTAAACACACACACACACACACACACACCCCACATCTTCTTTATCCCTTCATTGATCAATGGGCATTTGGGCTGTTTCCATAATTTGGCTATTGTAGATAATGCCGCTATAAACATCAGGGTGCATGTATCCCTTTAAATTTGTATTTTTGTATTCTCTGGGTAAACACCCAATTGCTGGATCATAGGTATTTTTCCAAAGACCTATGAATGGCCCACAGACACATGAAATGTACCATCACTGATCATGAGGGACATACAAATCAAAACTATAATGAGATATCACCTTACACCTGTCAGAATGGCTAAAAGCAGCATACAAGACAACAGGTGTTGGGGAGGACGCACAGAAAGGGGAACACTCTTGCGCTGTTGGTGGGGATGCAAGCTGGTGCAGCCGCTCTGGAAAACAGTATGGAGGGTCCTCAGAAAGTTAGAAATAGAGCTACCCTACGACCCACCAAGTGCTCAGTAGCCCCCTGTGGCTAGAGACTGCTGTACTGAAGAGCACAGCGGAATGGCTGAGCTGCCCCCTGCTAGAGTCCTACGTAAGAGGGTACGGCAGAACGTGGGAATAACCTGGATTTTCAGGTAATAACCCAAATGACCCTTTTCCCAGCCTTGAACCATTTGAGAAATGGGTCTCTGCCCTTGGGCTGACAGTATCACAGTAATGTAGGCACCAAGAAATAGTCCCCATTAGTAAAAAGGTCATTCTTTAACAGTACTCAGAGTTTTGCGAGCCCAAGAGTTTGTACCACCAGACTAGGAGATGGGGTTCCTCAGTGAGGCCTGGGGTGATGAGACGAACATCAGGGTCAGGGAGCCCTGTGCTGGTGTAGGTTGCAGGTCCCTGCCCAAAGGCAGAGTGCAGCACCCCTATCCCTGGGGCTTCCCAGGCAGTCTCTGCAGCGTGATTTTTGCAGACTGACGCATGGCGGGGAGGGGACAGTACAGATGACTGCTTGAGGATTCCTTGTGTTGCAGGGAGCCGATCAGAATCACAAGTGCTTCTCCAGGAACCCCTGCCTCTCTGAAAATGTTGCGGGGTGGAGGGGGGGTCACTACCACCGGGTGTGCCAGCACCCGTACATACTCCCATGTCTTTGTCTTTACAGGTACTATGGATTATCCGTGTGGTTCCCTGATGTCATTAAACATCTGCAATCGAACATGTTGCCCATTGAAAAGATCGAGAGAGAGAAATTTTCAAATTTCAGTGTTAACTTTACAATGGCAAATCAGTTGCACACGGGAGCGGAATACGACAACGGCAGGTCCAGAAACTTTGAAATAACTTAATTTGCTATCCGTTCTGAAAAATGTCTTTCTTCTGAGACTTCGCTGCATGGAAGCATGCACTCTTGCTTGTTTTTTGGTTTTTTGTTATTTTAGTTTGTACACTAGTCATTTTCAAACTGAATTTGTACACGTCCAAATGAGCTTTTAAAAAAAAAAAGGTGTATGTGTATCAGTCCTTGGCTTAAAACTGCTGCTGAAACTGCCATTTCACGTTTGTGAGGTAGCGGAATTAACTGGTATGAAGAGAAAATTTAGAGACGCTGGAAAGCCACAGAAATAAGTCATGGAAGAGAAGAGTGAGGAGTACGAGGAAGTAAGATGGGTGATGGTGTTACTTAATTCAGAGAAGAAACCCGAAGTGTAACTTGATGCCTGTCTCCCACCCCTGAAAAAGGGGACCACTTTTCAGAAGCCCTTCCTTCTCCGGGAGGCTGAATCAAGAAGTGGCGCTACATCGTATCAGGAAGACTTTCCCTTAGAGAACAGGAATGATTCCTCAAAGTTCAGGGCTTTGAAAATACGGAATAAGTTAGCAAAGGACATTTTTGAAGATGGAATCTGGAATGCATCTTGATAAGGGGAGAGAACTGGCTCAGGAAGGTGGTTCCAGTGCATTCTTTCAGGGAGGGAAAGGGATAGACAGGGCCATTTGTTTCTGTCCGTTAGTTGTTGTCTGAGCAAATAATGGCTGATGTGAGCTCCTGGTGGTTTACATTATTCTTAGGAAATTGTGCCAAAGGCAGAAATGGTAAAAGTAAAAAATTTTTAAAAACTGAACAAAGTTCTGCAGGGCAAAACCACTGTGGAAGGATGAAAAAGAATTCTATAGGATGCTTATGGTTTCTATAACGAAAGGGAGAATTATGAAGTAGGAGAGAATTGTTTAAATTGGCAGTCCCATGAGGGGCCTAATCTTTATGCAAGCCGTGTAGGATCACCTTCACTCTCCCACATAAAATACCAACCAGAGTCTGTGCTTGTTTTTCCACGGAAACCCTAGAGTCCCGTGCTCGGTAATGGCAGGGTAAAATTTTACTTCATTTATTTTTAAAAGTATTGTTACTCCATTAGAAATATGTCTGATATGTTTGTGTCTCTGACATATTTTAAATGATGCCTGTTAAAGTTCTAAGCCGATTCTTCAGCCACCACCAGGAAATTTTTTTACATTAGCAATATAAGGATTAGCGATTTTTAATAGTATTAAAATCCCTGTAAAACATATATATTTATTTTAGAAGGTGATAGAATTTTTATTGATTTTTTTGTTTATCCTTGAGGGAAATGGGAAATGCCACTAGCTAACTCTTTTTTTTTTTTTTACAAAGAGCTTTCTTTCCTATTCAGTATCATAAAATGGCACCACTTTTCAATGCTGTGGTACTGATCTGGAATAGCCTCCAGGGTAGACTATCATGAAGCAAAGCAAAAGGTGTAGAATAGTGTGTCTCACTTGCTAGCACTCCATAAATAGAATGCTCCTCAAGAGCACACGAGAAACTGGCCACACTGGCCATCTCTGGGCAAAAGAACTGGGAGAGTTGAGGATGGCTGGGAAAAGACTTACTTCATCCTTTTTCAATGTTTTCAATTTTGTACCCTGTGTACTCTATGTACATATTATCTATTCATAAAAAACCTAAAATGGTTTTCCCTTTCGAAATTCATCTATTTCAGAAAATTGCTAATATTCTTAAAATGTGCCGTTATTGGGGCACCTGGGTGGCTCAGTAGGTTAAGCGTCCGACTCTTGATTTTGGCTCAGGTCATGATCTCAGGGTCGTGAGATCAAGTCCCACATCATGCTCTGCACTCAGCGTGGAGCTAGTTTAGGATTCTTTCTCCCTCTCCTTCTGCCCCTTCCCTGCTCACTCTCTCTCTCTCTCTCTCAAAAAAAAAAAAAAGTTCCATTAATTATTCTTCCTTAGTGGATAAATTTATGGTTTAGATGGTTTTACTCTAGACCCGTGGAGTAAAGGTTGAAATAAGATTATTTTTTAAGATGGTGGTGTGTTAGGCCACAGTGCACTTTAAGCTGACAAAAACAATCAGGCATTAAGGTGAGAACAATTTTGAAAGTACTAAAGAGCGTATAGCTTTTAAGTCGGTCAGCTTGCTTACCTGGGAGGCTCAGACCCTTTCTGCCCCGAGCGGTATTTGGTATAATAACTTATTCTCCAGTTGAACAAGCATTTTCATCTCAGTGACTGGCTAAGTATACATTCATGGTTTCTTAATAACTTACCTAGACACAATGTGACTATTGATCCCTGTCTTCTGGGAGTCCTTATCAACACGGACAGATCGGAGTCGTAGACTCTTTTAAGATGTTAGGATCATCACGACTATTATCATCTTCACCATCTAGAATCACCCCTCCCCAGCCCCTTGCAGCACCCAAAAAGGTATCTGAGCAGGTTTCATCATTCTACACTTTTCCAAAAGAGCAAAGCTCTCTCATCACTCTGCCTGGTTCAAGCAATACCTGTTGGCTTTGAGAAGAAAAATATTCATGGAAATGAGAGTGACCTGTGAGTTTCTTTCTTTCTATGAGCCCTGAGTTCATCATTCCTCACATAAATGAAGCAGAATTCTCGTGTTGTCTCTTCAGAATAACCAGAAAGCCCTATAGGAGAATGAAGAAGACTTGAATTTTTAGCTTAGGAAACAGACTTCCATTAAAAGTGAGCATGGGAGCACATTCTAAAGTTCGAGCCATTAACCTCAAATAGAGAATTTTCAAATAAAGGCACATGATCAAGAGCAAGAGGATAGGATTAAAAATAAGGAATCGGTAGCCACAGTTAATCTCCAAACTCTCCACCTTCAATAGCATACTCCACAAAATCTTTTACCAACATTGCAAAGCTAAATGAAGTTATCTTGAATGCCAGCTCTTCTGCTGGAAAATAATATCGGTGAGCCAGGAGATAGCCAAAGGACAGGCTCCATGAGGAAGAGGGGAAGCTGCGAGCCCAGAAGATCCAGAGACTAATGTCTCTATGGAGAGTCCGTAGGTAGTGGGGCATCAGATCTCTAAACCTGTTTGACTTCACTTTGAACCCTGATGGACACACAGTCATTGATAAGAATTCTTCTGTGTGTTTTCTGGGCAGGTTTCTAGGGATGAAGTTCAAATCTGTAACTTTCAAAGATTCACTTTTTAAGGCCTGCATCTTTGAGGATGTGACTTCAGTCAACACCTACTTCAAGAACTGCACATTTATTGACACTGTTTTTGACAACACAGGTAGGTATGCTACTTAGCCGTGCCTGGGGCCTCTTCAGATGGCCCAGTTCTTGGCAGAAACGTGACACCCCTGTGACAGTGTGGGCAGCAGCTTATGCGGAAAGTAGAAATTAAAGTGTAAAGGAATGGATTTCCTTAATCGGACCGGATCATAGTTAAGCTTTTATTGTTTGTCTCTGTCGGATTTAATGCAAATGGGACTTGCTGAAGTTCCAAGTTAAAATAAAAAAATCCTGAGGCGCCTAGGTGGCTCAGTCGGTTGAGCGTCTGGCTCTTGATGTCAGCTTAGATCATGATCCCAGGGTCATGAGATTGAGCCCAGTGTCAGACTCCACACTGAGCATGGAACCTGCTTAAGATTCTCTCTCTCTCTCTCTCCCTCTGCCCCACCCCCACCCACCCTACTCGTGTGTGCACAATTTCTCTCTCTCTTAAAAAAAAAAATCCTTTAATTTTTTAAAGAGATTTTATTTATTTCTTTGAGAGAGAAGGAGAGCACAGGTGGGTGGAGGGGCAAGGGGAGAAGCACACTCCCCACTGAGCAGGGAGCCTGACACGGGGCTCAATCTCAGGACCCTGGGATCATGACCTGAGCCAAAGGCAGATGCTTAACCGACTGAGCCACCCAGGCTCCCCTCCTTTGAGTAATGTTTGAAGAAAAGAATTACCCTGTAGTTTGTTTGTTTGTTTGTTTGTTTGTTTGTTTATAATCCTGGCTTCAAAATCTGATGTCCACTTAAGTGATCATGCCTGAGCCGCAGCGAACAGAGATGGACAACGCATGGCTGCTTAATCAGATAGTTTTTTAGTGCAATCCTGGTAATGGAGTTTGGAAAACTCCCCGGGGGAAAAGAGGGGCAGGGGGGAAACTGATTGAGCACCTACCATATGCTGGTTCCTACTCTCCGTCATTAGACATTATCTCATTTGGTGAGATAATAGTGGAGACTTGGAAAAACTAAGTAATTTGGCCACATTCTTAGACCTGGTAACAGCTAACAGTTTTATCTGACGGCAGAGCCCTTGCTTTCCCACCCCTGCACTCTGGTGTGTCTGTCCTGAGTCCGAAATAACAGCCCAGCACTGGCAGGAGTATAGCGCTACCTTGTTGCCAGCTAGTGACTATCCAATAAGGGCAACTCTTACTCCTTTGGGCCTTCCTCCACTTTGACCTCAACTTCTACATTCAGCCTCAATGGGCCCAAGGAAAGTCCTGTTCCTCCTCTTGGCCTCCGAGTCCCTTAAAGGCTGATTCATCCACATCTTGAAACAAATTGTTTTTGTAATTGTGGTATGAAAGCTATTAGTACTATAATGATAGTACTTATGTAACGTGATAATTAGAACAAAGTAACATTATAAAGAAGTAAGCAAGTAATGTAATTAGCGATGGCCAACCATAAAAAAATCAGAGAATAACTGGACTCTAACGTATTCTTTTATTCAACTTGTAATGTGAGGTTCTAGACTAGCCCCTGTGCTTTGGCCAGGACCTGAAGCCCTCAAGTTTACAATACCATGTTTCTTTTCTGAATTCTTGACTGGCTTTCTTAGACTGGTGCGCAACTATAGAGCTTGATGACCTGTCTTTGTGTCCACAGATTTTGAGCCATATAAATTCACTGATAGCGAATTTCAAAACTGCTCATTTTTTCACAACAAGACGGGATGCCAGATTACCTTTGATGATGACTATAGTGCCTACTGGATTTATTTTGTCAACTTCCTGGGGACATTGGCCGTGTTGCCAGGGAACATCGTGTCTGCTCTCCTGATGGACAGAATTGGGCGCTTAACGATGCTAGGTATGTGCTTGGTTTCATATAAAATAAAAGAGCTGCCCTTGTCATCTCCGGGGAACCTGGTCCCCACTATATTCCCTGCCCCCTTAGGGATATGTATCCCGTAGAGATGAGGAGAAATTCCTTAAGACCTTTCATTAGGACTAAATTTCAGTGAAAATTATGTCTAATTACATTTCATTTGAGGTGCTTCCATGAGTTAACAGACTGAAGAACTAATTATGTGTGACTAGTGTATATTTTTCCACTTAAGTAGCTGAGTAATTGACGATGTGCATTTCCTGCTTGCTGTGTTCAGAAGGCAGTTGGGGAGGCAAACCTTTATACAGGCGAGGCTACCTGTTCCTGAGCCTTTGGAGTCCAGGCCACGTCCTCCCCTTGGGATTCAGTTTTGCTGAGAGATGTCGAAGACCCAAGGATCATTCTCTCCTAAGATGGCGGGAAACATGGCAGCCTTTTGTTGGCTTCGTTGGCAGGTGGCTCGATGGTGCTTTCGGGGATCAGCTGTTTCTTCCTCTGGTTGGGCAGCAGTGAGTCCATGATGGTAGGCGTGCTGTGTCTGTATAATGGATTGACCATCTCGGCCTGGAACTCTCTGGATGTGGTCACTGTGGAACTGTACCCCACAGACCGCAGGTATGTTGAAATGGGCCTCTAGGAAGAGGCACTCTGGGCTTCTTGGGACCACAGAGAAGTCACAGAAAAATAAGCCAAACTGTCATTTCCCAAAGGAAGTGAAAATCCAAAAAAATACCTGGTTTATGAGGCTGTAGTTTTCACTCATACCTTTTAAAAAGAAACTGTCAGGGAATATAGTTGCTAGCAGGAATAAGTGATCGGGCAGTGAAACTAGTGAAGGGATTTAATTGTGTCCATGACTTAGTTTGTTGGCTGACAATATGAGCGACCTATAATGCAGTTGTGAGGGGTAGGATTTAATAGCCTCTCTTGGACCACATTTTCAGCTGCTAATCAGTCCTGAGAGGACTCTTAACCTTCCTTTGCAAGTGTCTGCATGAGCTTTGTATTAAGCAACCACAGAGAAGTCTCTAGACCATATCTCTTGACCTTCCTGGTCTGTTGGAGGAAAGCCCAAGATATTTCCAGTTACAACAACAACAACAACAAAGATTCCTAGTTGAAGAAAGTTATGCATCAGTCCCAACATGAAGGTAAAAAAGCATCTTATATCAGAGAAAGGACTAAAAGATAGACTTTTGGGGTCGAGCTGTAGCAGCTGAATAATTAAAAGAATAGAAGCCCTGTTTTCCCATTTGACATGAGCAAAGACAAATGGCCTTTTCCTTCTTTTATTTCGTGTATACTTTGTCACCATGGGAGCCCTCTCTGCTGAGGGATGGGGTCAGTATCTTCTGAACTTTGAAATGGAGGAGAGATTTTCCTAGGATTATGCAGAGACATTTGGGGTAAGAATTTTCAACAACGTCTATTACTGACCATATAGGAACATTATAGGAGCTATATACCCATCTCCTGCAGAACATCTCAAACTCTTGTGGATGTGTCCTTATCCAAGTTCTACTAGACCCTCAGTAACCTCCTACTGAATGTTTAGGCTCTGAAAGGAACCATATACTCCACATTCAGCATCTCCTTCATTCATTCAACAAACATTAATTCTCTGCTGTGAACGAGCTCCTGGGGTGGATGCCATGGGCCTTGGGATGAGGGTGCTGCCAAAAAAAAAAAAGAAAGAAAGAAAGAAAGAAAGAAAAGATTAAGACTCCGCAGTATCCACTGAGCATTCTTTTATCAACCTCTCTTCCTGCAAACTGGGCCCAGATGTGGATTAAACTGTACATTTAAAATAAATCCCTTATTGTTAAAGCCACACTATGGCATAGCCGGATGCCTTTATGTTACACGTGTAAGAGTTTGCTACTCTTTAGCTGGATCAGCTGCTTATCCCTCTACCGTACGGGATGGAAGGATGAATATTCTTCTATGGCAAAATCTGGCTTAAAAAAACAAAAAGCAAGAGGGGAAAGGGTGCAGGGTTTGAAACATGGCGGACGACATGGACCAGCAACAAACTACCAACACTGTAGAAGAGCCCCTGGATCTCATCAGGCTCAGCCTGGATGAGCGAATTTATGTGAAAATGAGACATGACAGAGAGCTTCGAGGCAGATTACATGCTTATGATCAGCATTTAAATGATATTGGGAGATGTGAAAGAAACTGTGACTACTACAGAAATTATTGAGGAAACGTACCAAGAGATATATAAATCAACAAAACGGAATATTCCAATGCTTTTTGTCCAGGGAGATGGTGTTGTACTAGTTGTCCCTCCTTTGAGAGTTGGCTGAAACAAAGAATTTATCATGTATGGAATATAGGAGCTTTTGTATGATTGCCTCTTTAAATGTAGAAGACACTCAAAAGAGAAACCTGTGTAAATTTTGATATTAACAAATGACCAAGGATTCTTCCACTCCTGAAACGAGTTGATTTGCGGATAATTAAAAAATTCTCAGGCTAAAGGGCATTTTAATTTTTTTCCAGCCCTTTCAATAGATGTGATCACCAAGATGCAAAAAAAACAAAAAACAAGAAACAATGAATTGGGCAGGTTCCTCCAATGAGAAACATGGACCTGCTGTAATTCAACAGAATTTGTTGGTAAAAACAGAAATTGCTGTTTGTGTTTGCTCGGGTCCTCTGAGAAGCAAAGGGCAGGACAGAACTAAACGTGGGTGAAAATTTTAGTAGGAGACATGGCTGTGTGAGAGAAAACAGGGAGGGTGGTGAAGTCTGGGAGAGCTGCAGGCACCATGAGAGGGGTGCCTTATGAATAACTGAAGGCATGCCTCTCACTCAGGTTTTAGGAGCTAGGAACCGGGACAGAGACCACATGTATTCCTTAGACCACACCTTTCCACTGTGTCAATGTCACTATAATTCTTCAATCCTCAAAATCTCAGCATCAAAGGAAAGCATAACATAATGATTGCCTGATGACATTTCAGCTTTTTTCCCAGGTTAGATCACGGACAGTTATGGCACATGATAATTTGAGGGGCACAAAAGGGGGTAGAAGGACCCTCACAAACGCATTTTAGTGGAGTCCTTATAAGATCCAGTTTGTTCATGGAGATGTGAGGGACCATTTTTTGGAATAGAAGCTTAGGGAAACTTTTTAGGATATTCTTTGATACTCTCTCACACCAAATATATGGTGTCTTTTCCAACACCAACCAGTTCTCCAATTCTGACACTATGCGGGGCTGGTATCAGAGCCTACAAGTGAAAGGGCTCAGTCCCACAAAACCGCCCCATTTCAGATGCTCGCTGCAAATGGGGTGCCCAGGCAACTCACACTTCTGCCCAGCCAACTGCAGATTTGTGTATTTCCACAGCCCCGAACAGGTTTGATAATTGGCTAGATAAAGAAGTACCTAGGGTGAGCTACAGAGGAGTCCGAAGTGCATGAACCTCCATGTTCCCATGGAGTTAGTTAGGCTACACTACCACCATCCTTACATGTGAATGCATTCACCAGTCTGGAAGCTCTCTTGATTTATAGAGGTTTCATTATGTAGGCATGTTTGATTAAATCCTTGGTCATTGGTGACTGAATTTAATCTCCAGCACCTCTCCCCTCCCCAGAAGTCAGGGGTGAGGTAGGAGGCTGAAAGTTTCAACTCTCTATTCACATGGTTGGTTATTTCCAGAGACCAGCCCCCATCAAGAAGCTATCTAGGAGCCCCTCAAATTAAAGCGGAGATGATATGAAATTTTCTGTTATTATGCAGAAAGGCTGAGATTTTCAAGATTGATATAACCCAGTGTTCCCTGGAGCAGGTGAGGGCGGCATTGCTGCTCAGAAGCTGTTAGGGGAATTCTAAAAACATGTACAACATGTAGAGAGGGGGGAGTCTAGCAATCTCAGTGTTTTCCCCCATAGATGAGGTGGTGTTTCCTTTGGCTGCTTTCAAGATTTTTTCTTGGTCTTGGTGTGGATTTCTTTGGGTTATTATGTTTGAAGTTTACTCAGAGTCTTGAATCTGTAGGTTTGTGTCTCTTGACAAATTTGCAAGACTTTCAGTCATTATATATTTGAATATTTTTTCTCTTCTTCTGCCTGAACTCCAGTGACATGAGTATTAAATCTTTTGTGATAGTCCCAAAGGTCCTTGGTGCTCGGTTAATTTGTTTTCAATCTATTTGCTCTGTTTTTCTTTTTGGAAACTTTCTATTGTTCTCTTCCAATTCACTGATTCTTTCCGCTGACTCCTCCATTCTGCTGTTGAGCCTAATCACTAAGCTTTTTTGTTTCTATTTTTTTCTAGATGTTTTCTATATTTTATATGTTTCGAGTGTGTTCATGATTGCTCACTGAAGCATTATTATCATGACTGCCTGAAAATCTTTGTCAGATAATACTAACATCTCTGTCATCTCCAGGTTGGCATCTCTTAATTGTTTTTTCTATCTGTTTGAGATCTTCCCAGTTGTTCTTAGGATGAGTGATATTCAATTGAAAAGTCATTTTCCTATTACCGTGTGAGACTTTATTTTTTTTTATTATGTTACGTTAGTCACCATACAGTACATCATTAGTTTTTGATGTAATGTTCCATGACTCATTGTTTGCTTACAACACCCAGTGCTCCATGCAATACGGTATGAGATTTTAAATCTCTTATAAACCTTTAGTTTCGGGACACATCCCTGTGGGGAGAAAAGGGTGCAATGCCTTATTATTGCCTGGTGAAGGTAGATATCCAGTGTCCCCACTCAGCCTCTGTGGACACACAAGAAGGGGGGATATCTTCATTCATGTTGGCCAGCAGTGGGAGTCCAGGCTCTCCTCACGATCATGATACCATGGAGGGAAAGAAGGGAGAAGGGAAGGAGCTCATCACTGGCCAGCAAGGATGAAACTCCCTACTTAGCCTTCCCTGATACCACTTGGGTGGTGATATGGAGTCACCACGTCACAGTTTTGTGAGGGTGGACGTCTAGGCTCTCTCCTAGGCTTTTGCTGGTGTGGCTGGCATTTGGGCTATGATTTTTCTGGTGTTCATTTAGAGGAGAAAGATTATTGTCTAAACATTTTCTGTCTTTCTAGGCTGCCCCTACCCTGGTCCTCTGGCTAGAGAGAACAGGGTTTGTTGGGGCTTTTTAAATAATCTGTTGCTGGTGGTATTTCCACGTTGCCATCTTCTTCAGTTCCAAGTCTGAGATCAATGGAGCAAAAGAAAATGCAGGGAACTCACCACTCCTAAGCTCAGATTTGTCTGAGATCAGTGGAGCAAAAGAAAATGCAAGGAACTCACCTAAGGTCCCTAGCACCTCTGCCTTTTTTCTGTCTTTCAGAGTTTTCTTATGTTTGCTTTTTAATATCCAGTATTTTTAGCTGTAGTTAGTGGGAATGCTCATGAAAGTATGACTACTCCATCTCCATATGAATTTTAGTACTGTTTACTTATTCATTCAGCCTTTTTTTTTTTTTGAGTGCCTATGATACAGCCATGAATAAGCCATTTGTGGTCATTACTCTCACAGAGCTTGTGGACAAGTGAACATCAGGTATAAGAGAGTGAGGTCAGGGTCATTGTGAGGGAAGTACGTGGTGTTGTGAAAGCAGAGAAGAGGGCTTCTTGAAA